AGGTGCTGCAACGCAGCGACTCCTTTGTAGGCGCCAAAACCCGTCACCAGTTTGTGAAACCAAGCACCGCCTCTGGTCTGACTGGTTAGTCACTTGGAGTCAAACCCCCTACATTTCAGCTTTGCTGCCCTCACCCCCACCCCCACCCCCACCTTGCTGTCAGTTTTTCAAGATGCCATTTCAGGAGAAGAGGAAATACCATTTCACACTGTGACAGCCTGGGGTCTTCATTTTGGCAGAGTAACTCAAACATCCAAGAGCGAACACCCTTTGGTCCATCACATTTTTAGATTGTTAGACGAGGAGAGGAGGTACCCCGGGATGCTTCCAACTGGGCCCTACAAGCTCCTCTTAAGAGTCTGTGTTCCTCTTCACCAGCAGTTGGAGGAAATCTTCAAAAGCCAATAGGTGAAGCCCTGCAAAGTAGCTCAAGCCAAGGTTCCCAGGACAGTTCCTCCTCCTGCCCTCTGGACATCACCCCAGCTCTCACCTGAATCCTGTCACCTCTGCCATCTCGAAGTGATCTGTGGACAATGCTTGAGCAGAACAGCCCCTGGTCAACCAGGCAGAACCGTCTATGCAAATGCTCGCGGCCTGCCCTGGGAACAGTGCACCCATTGTCCCAGGCTTTTCAAAGCCCCAGCAGCTGCTCAGACTTTGCTGCCCTGGACCCGTGGCTGCCACAGTCATGTCATCCTTGCAAGACATCAGACTCTGAAAATTATACGACCCGAATTCGTGAGCAGCCTTCTCTTGAGGGCTTCTGTCTGCCACAAGTCTCAGGGTCCTCAGCTGCTTCTGTTGTTGGGGACAGGAGGAGGGTGCGGGCAGGCGCCAGTTTGCAGCCACTTCGAACTAGGGGGTTTGAGAACTTGACAAACTGTCCTTGGGCTTCTGACCTGGGGCATCTGGCTCAACCAGCTGTGAACTTGAGGCTTTTCTGTTTCCTCTGCTTGCAAGTTTAAATGCTTGGAAAGGTGTCAGGATCGGGATGGAGCAAGAGTACCAGCCACAGGTGTGGGCATCCTTAGCTTGAACTCCACAAGTCTCACTTTCTAGAGAAGCAAGCAGGCTGGCTGGCTTGGGCTGGGCAGCGCTCTGCTCTCAAACAACCTCAACTCAGGGTCCCTTCACAGAAGCCTCAGTGGCTCCCGTGGTTTCACTTCCATCCTCTCTCCCTGCCACCCACCCCACCCCTCCCCAACCAGGACAGATAAGAATGTTCTTGGGTCAGAGATTGGTGGTTCCCAGGTTGGGAGATGAGCTGGGGACCCAGCAGTGGGTGGTCTGTAGTATGCTTGCTGCCAGAACCTGGGAGTACATCCCTCGGATCTCTAGGCACACAACCTAATGGGGAGGAACTCCAGGAAGACTGGGGAGGCCCAAGGTTTCAGGTAAGGCAGCTTCTGCCTCTCCTTCCATAACTGGTCCCAGGGACCTCTAATGCATTGCGTTTTTCTTTCTTTTCTTTCTTTCCTTTTTTTCTTGCTTTCTGTCTTAGTTTTATTTGTTTTGTTTTGAGACAGGGTCTCACTCTGTAATACAAGCTGGCCTAGAACTCAATGCACTCCACCTGTCTCCACCTACTGAATGCTAGTATCACAGGCCTGAGCCATCCTGCACTATTGACATGTTTCCTGCCTCTTCACAGGACCTGTTGCTGTCCTTTCTCTCTCTCTCTCTCTCTCTCTCTCTCTCTCTCTCTCTCTCTCTCTGCCTTCTCCATGAGTGAAGGAAGTTCCCAATAAACAACATAGAAAGGATGCCAAGCGTGTCCCCCTGTTCTGGGTAAGGCCTTCCCTGTGCACTCACCCCTCCCAAGGAGCCTCACCAAATCCCGATAGCCTGAATGGAGAGGGCTCAGATGTATGTAAAGCTCAGTAAAATATTGTTTTGTAAACTCAAGAGAAACAAACGGTAGGAAACAAATGGAGAAGAGATCCTATGGACCATGAGGCTTATTTATTCAGGTTTGACTCTCTGGGCATTACTGACTGCCCCAAACCAGGGAGACTATAGGGCAGTCATTTGGACACCACTGTCATGGGGAGGCCAGCAGGATGTAAGCGCCACGATCAAGGTGGGCTCTCAGTTTGCAGCAGTACCTGTCTCCCTGTAGATGCTCAAGGTGGCTACTGAGGGACTGCAGAGGTCCTTGCTAGGACAGTTGGTAGGGCTGGTGGCCAGAGACTTGTCTCTGCCAAAGGACCCTCCCTCCCCACTTCTGGGGACCGTACTGGACTTCCTTCCTCTCTCCCCTTTCCACACACATGTGGTCGCTCTTCCTTACATGCTCGTGCACACTTACACACACAGGCGAAGGACACTGACCCTTATATTCACAAGTGACTGATTCACACTCAAGTCCAGCACGTTCCCCAGCTCCACAGCTGCGATCAGTTGAACCCTAATTGGCTCAGCCGGACTGAGTACCTGACCTTCAGGCCGCAGAACTTGAAGAACCCTGGGCCAGGCACACAGGGCAGAGTGAGTGAGTCAAAGGGCCAGAAAGTCCAGGTTGTTTCAGGATCTGGTTTTGTCCCAGGTGGGACAACTTGACTGGCCTGCCAGCCCGTTTCCTGGGCTTCCTGGTTCTGCACTTCCGGTCCGTGTTTATTCCTGGATTGCTCTCGGAATGTCACATAGACTCCATGTTATCCAGCAGGGTAGCTGGCCACCACATACTGCCCCTACGCACCCAGAATTCAGAATGTCACACACACTAGATTTTAAAGATTCGGAATGAGAAAGAACTCGTTGATTCTTTGTAATGTTGGCTACAGAAATGGCCTGTCTTGAGATGTACTGGATTAAGTAAAATGAATTGTTAATGTGAGCATCAGTGGCCACTGCTCTTGGGAGTCAGGGTGGCTTTGGTAGCTCCTCTTCACTGGCCCTGTGTCCTTCCCAGGATCCTCTAGCAAATGGAAAAGAGAAGAAGCAAAAGTGGGGTAAGAGGACTGAGCCTGAGTCCCAGCAGGGGGCCGCCGGAGCCCCTCCCAACTCTTTTCAAAGTCTCTCTTGTAGCAAGCAAAGCTTCCGAGCTTTCGGGAGCGCGGCAAGGGGAACATTGTATACTCTACTTATTGCTTAATATTCTTTCTATTTTAGCTATAATTCTGTTTAAATACATTGTGATCTTAGCCAGCAGCCCATGAACCCAGCAACAACTTTGAAAGAACCTTGTTACCAATGCTGGATGGTGGAGGAATATTGATTCTCGGAGTTGCTATGGAAGTTCTATGGCCCTACACGGAGCAGCTCTGTTATTTCCAAACTTCTAGTCAGCATTGGATACTTCACGGCTCACATTTTGCCCTGCAAATGTGTCACCAGGTCTAGATGCCGGCTCACAAACAAGACAAGGATTTTGAGCAGGAATTTGCCTTTTGTGGAAATAGCCCATCCCAACCAAGAATGGATCGCTTCTAGAAATTCTTTTCTTGGCTAAGCTGAAGTTTTAGAACTGTATGAAAATCAGACTTCAGCCAAGGAGGCCACAATAAACATCTTTGTAAACTTTTATTTTACATTTATTAATTTTTGTGTGTGTGCCATGACACACACAGAGGTCAGAGAATAATCTTCAGCAGTCATTTCTTACCTTCCCCCATGGGTTCCAGAGATCTAACTTAATTCATCAGGCTTGGCACTAAGCACCTTTATATGCTGAGCCATCTTGCTAGTCCTAGTAAACTTTAATACTAGAGATATCAAAATACTCTATATATTTTGGATACTAGATGTCTGGAAGTGAAGTCATAAAAATTAGAAATTTTGTTTTGTCATTTGGTAATAATACATGAAAAAAACTGCTCCAAGCTTACTGTCTTTAATATGATGCTGTTAGAATGCACCACGAAAGCTTTCCATGCATAAGGCTTGAAGTATGTACAACATATTCAATATATTTATTTTGGGGGTATATTAATCAATATGAAATAACCCAGGAAAATGTGACATTAAGTCCACTATGCCAAAACACTGGAAATATTTCGGAGATAATTTTGAATAAAATTCAAATTATTTTCATCATAAAAGGAGCAGTCTTGTTGTCTGTTACTTGTATGTCCATTTACTCTTCTGATTTTGTCTGAATTCTATGTCACTAAGAGACAATGTATAAAATCCCCAGCATTGTCAAGACTTTATGGGTAAATGAATTGATAATGGTTTCTTTGGGGAGTGCACTCCTTGCAAAATATCATTCTTGAGACTTTCTGTTTAACTGGTAAGACATGAACAGAAGCATCTTCGTGTCTAATCACATTGTCTGTCTATTTTTGTTTGCTGGAGAGAGGTCCTCAAATATCCCAGGTTGTATTCTAACCTGCTGGTGTGGCTCAGGGTGACCTTGAAGTTCTTTCTGGTCCCCCTGCCTCCACCTCCTGAATATTGGGATCATAGGTGTGTTCCACTGTGCCCACTTAAGGCTGCGCTGGGGACGCAGCACAAAGCTTCGTGCATGCCAGGCAGGCACCCTACCAACTGAGCTACACTCCAAGCCCACGCTACCTATTTTTCATCGTTGCTAAGGAAATACTTTCAAATGGGGCCCATGTCTTGCTGAGGACATCAGTCTCCTGTTAGCAGCCCACAGGGTGCCTTGGACACACAGGTGGCTGGTGTGCCCTTGGACGAGGTTCTTCCGTCTGTGACAACTGGTGTTTGCTCTCTTTTACGCTGACCCACATAACTGCCCAGAAAGACACCCAGATATCCTACCATCCTGCTGTGCCGCTTTTCCAGAACCATGTAAGATAGAAAGCATCCAGAATGCTGAGCAAGGATGGAGGGAGGATCGAGGGAGAAGGAGCCAGAGGGGACAGTGTACAGATCCCACATAGTAAAATTCCAATGAACGGATTCTCCTGTTTGTGTAGCGAGTACCATT